TTTTTTTTTTTTTTAATTTTGAGAGAGAGTGAGGAAGAGCATGTGAGAGCAGGGGAGGGACAGAGAGAGAGGGAGAGAGAGAATCCCAAGCAGGCTACACACTGTCAGCACAGAGCCCAACGTGGGGCTTGAACTCATGAAATGAGAGATCATGACCTGAGCCAAAATCAAGAGTCGGACACTTAACTAACTGAACCACCCAGGTGGCCCCATCCTTTCATTTTTTGAAGTTTATTTATTTATTTTGAGAGAGAGAGAGAGAGCAGGGGAGGAGCAGAGAAACAGGGAGAGAGAGAATCCCAAGCAGGCTCTGCACTGACAGCACACTTTGCTGTCAGTGCAGAGCCTGACTCAGGGCTCGAACTCACAAACCGTGAGATCATGGCCTGAGCTGAAATCAAGAGTCAGACTCTTAACTGACCGAGCCACCCAGGTGCTCCCCCCATCCTTTCATTTTAACAGCTTTATTGAGATATATTTCACGTATCCTACAATTCACTCATTTAGCATATACAATTCATAGATACATGCAACTATCACCACAGTCAGTTTTAGAACATTTTCATCACCTTAGAAAGAAACCCCTGCCTGGATACCTCATATGAATGGAATCAATAACACATGTCTTTTATGACTGGCTTCTTTCACTTAGAGTCATATTTTCAAGATTCATCCATGATGAACTATCTGTTAGTGCTTTATTCTTTTCTTACAGCTGAATAATATTCTATTGTATGGATATAAGGCATTTTTATCCATTTATCATTTGATGGACATTTGGATTATTTCTGTTTTGGCAGTTACGAATAATGCTGCTGTAAGCATTTGTTTGCAAGCTTTTGTGTGAACGTGTTTTCATTTTTCTTGGGTATATAGCTGGGAGTGGAGTTGCTGGGTCATATGGTAACTCTTATGTTTTTTTTTTTTAATTTTTTTTTTAAATTTATTTATTTTTGAGACAGAGAGAGACAGAGCATGAACAGGGGAGGGTCAGAGAGAGAGGGAGACACAGAATCTGAAACGGGCTCCAGGCTCTGAGCTGTCAGCACAGAGCCCGACGCGGGGCTCGAACTCACGGACCGTGAGATCATGACCTGAGCCGAAGTCGGACGTTTAACCGACTGAGCCACCCAGGCGCCCCAGGTAACTCTTACGTTTAATTGTCTGGGGAACTACCGGATTGAGTACCAGATTCAGGTCTTTGAATTAACTTGAAAATTGTACCTGTTCTTTGGAAAATATTTTAAAATACAGAAGATGTTGAGGGTACAAACATTTAATTCCACTATTCAGAGAATATTCTTGTGGGATACTTTTCTGTGCATATTGTTTTTAGTGGGACCATAGTTGGCATAATATTTTGTAGCCCATATTGTGAACATCTTTTCACGTCAATAATTATTTTCATCAGTGAGTTTCAACTTTCTTTTACGCTAGGAACCCTCTCTTGAAAAGACCATCTTCTGAGAGCCCATTATGTAATCACTCAAATATCAACAATTACTTATTGGGCCCCTGCTGGATGCCAAGCATCCCTACCTGCCCACATGCCCATTCTCTTTAAAAGCTGCAGGTATTACACAGTATAGAGGAGTCACCTCATTAGCTGCTCCCCTGTAAGAACACCCAGCTTGCTCTCTGCATTTCATTGTTACTAACAATGACTCAATGAACAAACATCTGTGTGTACTTTTATCATCTCTTTAAGAGAAATCCATAGATTTGGGGTCAGAGGCCAACCTTGGCCGTGGGCCCATACGAGGTGCCTGGAGATGAGAGAAGAGGCAAATGACTTGGTCCCTGTTCTTCAGCTCAGTCAGCTTGAGGAAGTGACATTCGGGAAAGGGAAAAGGAGATTTCAATAAATAAAGCTCATATCTTGCAATAGTTCCTTTTTAGGAATTCATTCTGTGTATGCCTGCCGCATCAATGTAAAAATGAATAACCTGAATGTTCAGCATTAGGGAATTGAGTAAATATATGCCTTTATGGTACTCATATGGATCCACCTCCAAGTAAAAGAAAGCAAGGGGTAAAACAATGTTTCACATACTGTTTGTTATATCTGTAAAAATATGGACATATGCTTGTACATATATAGACCTACACTGCCCACTATGGTAGCCACTAATAGCATGTGATTATTGAGCACTGGAAATGTGGTGAGTACAAGCTGAGATGGGCTGTGAGTGTAAGATGCACATTGGACTTTGAGACTTGGTACCAAAAAAAAGTATCTAAAATATCTAATTAGGGGCACCTAATCTCACAGCTCGTGCGTGGGTTCAAGCCCCGCATTGGGGTTACCTGCTGGAAGCCAGCTTGGGGTTTTCTCTCTCTCTCTCTCTCTCTCAATCCTCCTCCGCTCATGTGCTCTCTCTCTCTCTCTCTCAAAATAAATAAATAAACTTTCAAATAAAACATCTAATTAACAATTATTATATTGATAATATGTTTAAATGCTAACATTTTGAATATATTAGATTAAATAAAATATTAAAATTTCAACTGTTTCTTTTATATTTTTTAATGTGGCTACTAGAAGATTTTAAATTATGTATATGGCTCATATTTGTGCCTGCCATTATGTTTCTATTGCCTAGGACTGTCATAGACTATCTCCAGAATATGCAACAAGTTTATGATAGTGACTGCATCTGTTCTGAATGTTTGTGTGGGATGGAAGATTGACTTTTCACTGCTGTTTTGTACCATTTGAATTTTCTCCCTTGTTCAAATTTTTGGTACCATGAACCAATTTTTTTTTAAGTTTATTTATTTGTTTTTGAGAGAGAGAGAGAGAGAGAGAAAGAGAGAGAGAGAGGGAGCTCACAAGGAGGGGAGGGGCAAAGGGAGAGAGAATCCGAAGCGGGCTTTGTGCTGTTAGCATGT